GGGGGCGTTACGTACGACTTGTAGCAGTGAGCGGCGGACACCACCCAGTTCTCGTTGACGAGGGAGCCTCCGCAGAAGTGGTAGCCGGAGTTCAGGGACACCTGATGGGGCTGCGAATGGGGCTGGCACTCATAGCCTCCGACGATCTTGTCGTCCTCCGTGGCAACTGCAATCACACGGTGGGGAGGAAGGTCTTCAAGGAACAAATAAATGACCTTCTCGAAAGGTTCTAATCAATGATGGATGAAGACGAATGAGACACCATCGAGTCTCTGACTCTCTTTGGTCCCTTCAACTCTCGGCTAGTTGACGAATACGTCAGAATGCGAAGGAAGTCTCGCGCAAGACAGACCCAAAGCGTAAAACACCCATTCTGATTGTAGGAAAGTCAATTTGATAAATGGACAACCTTCCGTTCAACATTGACAGCTAATTTGTTCGCTCAAGGTGGTCCCGTACCAAACTGAGTTCTCTTCCCATTTAGGCAGCAAACTAGTCGGGCTGGATTGACCCGGGCAGTCTCCTATCTACTGCCGAGTTGTGACGTTAACTCCATTTCCAGGTAACTCAGTGCCAACCTAAAACCGATCACCATCCATCCACACTGCCGACGTGAAGTTGAAACAGACAAATCGATTTATCGCCGCTAGCCCTCGTTAGCTTTGTGTCGAGTTCGGCTCAGTGAACAGCGCGTCGCACTCACAGGCGGCTCCGATGAGCAGAACGAAGACCAGACACCTCATGGTTTTGCCGAGTGATCTTGTTGATGAGGTGACCTGATCCGAAGGCTCGCCTTATAACCCGCCGCCGGGAGCGCTGCCCTCCTCCGCCGTCCTTCCCCATTGGTCAACGGAGAGCCAATCACGATGGAGGACGTCGGGGTGTTTCGGATCAAATTTTGGTCCAAGCGTCAACCTTCTGTCAACATCAAACTTGGAGTTAAGATTTTATTTTACTCTGTGTTTGGTGTTGGAATATTCGCCACGAAAGACCAAGAGGCAAAGTCCGACAGCGCAGCAGTCAGATAAAAATATGCGGCCATTGCCCAACTTTCAATTCATGGTCCATTTTCATCTTCTTTTAAACTACGATTTAGAGCTTCCACATTTTTTTTTTCCCCCTTGCCGTTAAAAGCTTTCGCTTGAGTGCCGGCGGTGACATAACGGCTCTTGTGGATTCGATATCTCGGCATGTGGGGGATTTCCCAGGATTTTACCCCAAGTGGCCCTGCCAATCTTAACGAACAAACAGAGCGCAAGGTCACGCTTAAATAACGTTTGCTGACACGACTCAACCGAACACGGGCGGCCAAAATGCAGAATGATTTGTTTTCATCAAGGCAAAGGATATCACTGAAATTTTGGGGCGAGCCTTACGATTTGCACAAATCCGCAAGATGTCAACTCAACTTTGAGTCTGAAATCTGGTTGGACTGTACGTTGGGCATCGCAGCACAATTTCAGAAGATCCAATACAAAGCATCGTAGATGCAATATCTTTCAATGAAGTGCCTGATTTTAGGACGTGTTCAGGACAAGGTACGTTATTGATCCTGATGGAAATTCCTTCAATCCGAAGCAGCGTAGTAACAGAATCTAAAAATCATCTCGTATTATGTTCCCCCACAGGTCAATGACAATAGATTAAAAAAATGAGTCTTTATCGTCAAAAAAAGTAAACGGATTTTCTATCATTTTGCTCAGGTCCGATATCTGATGTGTCCAAATGTTTTTTGAGCTGCTGGGTCTCAAAACTTGAGGCCACAATCACCATCTGAGCTTGTGAACAGTCCACCTGCAAAAAAACTTTGGCAGCACGGTGTCAAGGTCGGCCACGGCAAGGAAAAAAAAAAAAAAAGGTCGATAAAAATACATTCCATACTTTTATTGAACCCACAAAATACCCCCCCCACCCCAAAAATAAATAAAGAAATAAATTGTAGCCTTAACAAAAATCTATCTGAAGTCCTGCTGAGTTAGCCTTGACGGTGCACATTGAACCGGCGCTCAGTCAGCTTTTTTTTTCTGACTTGGTCATTCCAATTGGTCAAACGCAACCTGTGGGCGGTGCCCAACAGAGAGGCCGGAGTGGCATCTTCCAATATAAACTGGACGTCTGCGTGAATTCCCGTCATCGACATTGTCACTGAGCAACCATGAGGTGTCTGGTCTTCGTTCTGCTCATCGGAGCTGCCTGTGAGTAAAACTTTCTTTGCGTTCAGTGGCAGGAAGACGTCAAAGAAAATCGTTGGGGGAACGGGTTTGTCGTCTTGTTTGCAGTTGCCACGGAGGATGACAAGATCGTCGGCGGCTATGAGTGCCAGCCCCATTCGCAGCCCCATCAGGTGTCCCTGAACTCCGGCTACCACTTCTGCGGAGGCTCCCTCGTCAACGAGAACTGGGTGGTGTCCGCCGCTCACTGCTACAAGTCGTACGTAACGCCCCCGATCTGATCAACGTGCCTCGACCCCCACCCTCCCGCCGGCCGACCTTTTCAAACCCGCCCAAATGCTCTCCAGCCGCGTGGAGGTGCGTCTGGGCGAGCACAACATCAGGGTGACCGAGGGAACCGAGCAGTTCATCAGGTCCTCCCGCGTCATCCGCCACCCCCGGTACAGCTCGTACAACATCGACAACGACATTATGCTGATCAAGCTGAGCAGTCCCGCCACCCTCAACCAGCACGTGAAGACCGTGGCCCTGCCCAGCAGCTGCGCCTCCGCCGGCACCATGTGCAAAGTCTCCGGATGGGGCAACACCATGAGCTCCAGTGAGTCGCGTCGGCTTTTGGTCGCAGATGGTCTCAGGCGCGAGACTTTTGGGAAGCGGTCTTGATTTTCCAAGTTAGCGCGAGTTTCCTCTGAATTGGTCTTCCACAGCCGCCGACAAGAACAAGCTGCAGTGCTTGGACATCCCCATCCTGTCCGACAGGGACTGCAAGAACTCCTACCCCGGCATGATCACCAATGCCATGTTCTGCGCCGGATACCTGGAGGGTGGCAAGGACTCTTGCCAGGTATTTCAAATCCATTTTCACTGTCAAGACTGATCCAGCTTATCTTTCAAGTTTCAAACGAGGGTTGTGTTAGTGTGAAGTGTCATCGTGAAGTCATCTCTCGAAAAATCAACGGACGATCGCAACATAGCATTTGTTCCCCCGATAGTTGAACGATAGAAATGGTTGTTCGTGGCCTTTATGACTTTTGTCAATGGAGACCAACTTGTTCAATTGGCGCGTCTTTGGCACATATAATGGGATCGATCTCTCGAGGTAGGCCGCTATCTTGTTGTGACCTTTCTCTTGCTTTTACTTGGCTTTCTTTATCTTTAGGCACTCTTGGCACACGTCCTAGTTGAATCCGCTTGGAGTCACACATTGTCACGTGGTCTAGTCAAAGTTAAACCCCCAAATGTGGGTGTGGCTACAGATCGTTTGAATACAAGCAACCATTTTGGATGGATTCGACCCTCTTCCGCGCGTGGCAGAATTAGGCTCCGGAATTCGATTTTTTGGCATTCGTCACATACCTCCAAGTCTGGTGTTAAACATGAACTTTGTGGTGTCAGGGTGACTCTGGTGGCCCCGTGGTGTGCAATGGTGAGCTGCAGGGTGTCGTGTCCTGGGGCTACGGCTGTGCCGAGAAGGACCACCCCGGTGTCTACGCCAAGGTATTCTTCCAACTTGGTTGACAAATAAAGGATATCTTATCTTATCTTATTGTGATCGTCTCGGGGTCAGCCAAAAACGATTTATCACCATGCGTTCTCTATCACAGGTCTGCATCTTCAACGACTGGTTGGAGTCCACCATGGCCAGCTACTGAGTGATTTGAGTGGATCAGTCAAGCACTTTGTGTTCCATCTTTAGTGCTGGACGACATGACCAATAAAGCAATCTTGAAATATACTCTCTGAAACTTGCTTCTCTTTTTAGCTCGTATTTTCTTTTGTGATTTTTTTTTTTTTTTTTTTTTAACGCAGTCAGAGTCATTCATCAGCTCCTTGTGAGGAGACGACTTGGCAATATCTGCCCGGGAATAATTCAATTTAATTGCCTTGACCCGCATCGATGAATGCATAAACGGGGGGATGGATTTGCTTGCTTAATCTGATTCAAATTTGACATTTTCATTCAACCGCCTCATGTTCTCAGGCGCATATTGAATGTTTTATCAGTTTTTTTTTCAAATATATACAGATTTTTCCTGTTCCTGATCACCCCACAAAGCGAAGGCATCCATCCAATTTCATTCATTCATTCGTTCATTCATGTATCCATTCACCTTTTCTCATTCGATGTAAACAAATCTTAATTTTAATACATTTAATTACATTTTATGTGTAGCACTGATGTTCTCCCAAATAATTCACGGTACTTAGATGAGCTACTGACAAATGTTTTCGAAACAAACACACAGCGAAAAATATTAGTTTAAATTATTTATTTCTTCAAAAATATGTTTGGGATGCCTTCTAGATGCTCTTCCGTACTTGAGGATCAGCTCTGCTCTGCCTTCACACGCAGTCAATTTCAGAGGACTCGTTTAAGTAAAACATCATTTCTCTTGTCTTGAGAGGCCAACTGACCTCTTGGAGTGTAAAGGAGAAACAGCATCGAATCCCACCGGTGTCCTCGTCTGTCATTGCTGATCGACCTTTCTCTCTGGAGCCTGACGCACACGAAACACATCAGCTTTTGTCAAATGAACTGCTTTTCCTTCATGTGCTGTCATTTTCGTGTGTTGAATGTGTGCCTCTAAGGGGCGTGGCCTAGTGAGTGACTTCAGCAGCTGGAGTCAGGTTGTCTGATTGTAGTTTAGTGTGAGCGTCATGGCGACGTTTCCGGGGTTTCTCACTTTATATTTGTGGGTTTGTCCCGTTCGATAAATGGCCAAAGTGTGTCGGAAACTATGGCTCCCCTTGTCCCGCTCCAAGCCTTACGACTGAGAAGTTTTTTTTTTCCCATCTTGCGCTTGACAAATACTTTAAATATTAAAACAAATGAGATAAAACTGGTCCTAAAACCATTAAAAACTAAATTAAAAAGAAGCGTTTTTGAAAAACAAAAATAGCTACCTTGAAAAATAATAGCCTTATTGGAGTGAATTTTTGGAACACGTTGAAAATTAGATGTATTATGTGGGAGTGCAAAGCAGTGCGGTGAAAACTAAAAGAGAGGACTAACATCTGCACGTGCCGTCTTCCTCAGTGCGGCCATTTGCTTCACCACCAGCTCAATGTCCTCGTGGTCGTCGTCTTTATCGCTCTCATCTGCCTCCTCCTCCTCATCCTTGCGTTTCGGCCGGTAGGACTCGACTTCGACAGGCTCCGTGTCTTCGATGTCACAGCGGCAGAATGGACACTTGTGGCCTGTTGATTTCTGCTGGATTTTCACAGTATGGTGTAATTGGGTGTACTGTACCTAGTGAAGGTTCTTGTCACTGTCCAGTGAAGGCTTGTTTATGGCCACTAATATAAACACAACATTCTGAATAATATTGCGTCGATGGAAAATGAGTTAAGCAGTGAAATCCACCCGTTTTTCGTTCATCTCAGGCAGCGACAATTTTGACACTTGTTGTTAACTGAATGACGTCACAGATGCTCAGGTATCAACCAATCATGGCTCAGCTTCAGAAAGCTGGATGAGCCGTGATTGGTCGTTACCTTACGTTAAATATCAGCGAAGTAGTGGGCATGACTCAGCAGAGTGTCTCGCTATCGTGTTGTGTCGTCATACCAGCCAGGAGTCTAAGCATCGTCTGCACACGAGGTGTCCGCAAGGCTCGATGCGAGTGTTTTTGTCCTTCTCCGTGCAGATCTTACACAGCTGGAAGGAGCTGCCTACATCTTGGTAAAGGTCGTACTGCTCCTGTTAGGCACCGGAATGCGTGCACGACATCGGGAAGGCAAAGTCAGTCGAGTTTCCAACCTCAAATCGTATTCAATCAGGAGTCAATTTCCCTGTTGAGTTTGTGTGTTCGCTCACTTAAAAAGAAATGAACAGTCTCTAGTTTTTACGGTTGTCATTAAAATAACTAATTGAACAGGTTAGCTTTAGCCTCGTGCCCAATTGAGATCAGCCGCCGTCGAAAGTGTGCGCAGATTTGTGCCTCGTGGGCGCCAAGAAGTTATTTGAACCACTTTATCCTCACGAGGGTCGCCCCCCACTGAAGATATCTCTCTAATGGATCTGCTTTACATTTTCTCTGTGTGTGTGTGTGTGTGTGTGTGTGTGTGTGTGTGTGTGTGTGTAAAATGGACCTACTTGCGTGACCCTGACTTTTACTTTGTGTTCCGGTTGGTGCAGGGTGCTGAGGTCCGGGTTCACATCTTGCCCGTCGGGGTACAAATAGCTGCCAAACATGAAGACACTTCAAAGAACACACACACACACAAAAACATCGTGTGCGCGCAAGTGTGCTAACCAGCCCTGGCCTTGGCCCAGAAGGAGCGCCAGGTAAAGCGGCGTATTCTCAGGGATGGTCTGCGTGATGTCACCCTCGTCGGTCACGTGACCGATGGCCCACTGGCCCATCCGGGTGCAACTCAGACGGAAGATGTAGCTAAGGCGAATGGGAATGAGGAGGGGGGGGTAATGAATATGACCGCATGAGGTCCAAGCTGAGTCCTGTTGGCGCACCTTCCCGGCTTGTGGCGGTAACGTTCCAGTCGTGACACGGCTTGGTCGTACGTGATGAAGGCCATGTAGCCTGGGTGGGTGACCGCGAGCTGGTTCCAGTTCTTCAGGAGGGACCTCCACGGCTAAAAGGAGGAGATGAAGTGAAATTCAGAATGCCAAATCCCGATCCAGCTCAAATGGGATTTATGCATGTCAACAATTAGGCTCAAATGTCAGCATTTTTCCTCATTTTGTGATGAAAGTCAACAGAGGCGCGATTATTGGATGTGTCGGAAAGAATAGGCAAGGCAGTTTTATATAGTGAGCATATTTCCCACACAAGGTAATTCAATGTGCTTCACAGAGTTAAAATGCAACATTTCAAGGCAAAATATTTTTTAAGACATTAAAAAAAGCAGCATTTAAGACATTTAAATAGAGAAATAAAAAGTCTTTTTTTTCTCGAAAATAATTTAAACATTTGTGGGCCCAGGTTTCAAAGCAAACATAGTGAAGCAAAATTTGGGCTGTTATGCTGCACGCAAGTGAAGTTAGTTGGGAATGGAAGTCACCCCAAGTATCATTGCTTTTAAATCCCCAAATCCTGTGTTTTCTTTCCCTTACTTTTGATGAAGGTCTTTTAAGCATTGAAAATCAATTTCACTGTCAGATTGTGTGACGCACCATCACTTGCCTTGTGCATGAAAAGAGTACTTACCGGTAATTCTAAATTGTACTTCTAGGGCATGAGCAACTCACCTGAAAGAGCCTGGTGAAGATGTCAAATTCAAAGACGGAGACGTGGTCGTTGCAGGTGAGATCGACGGTGGACTGGAGGGCCACAGACTCCAGCCCCTCCTGGAACGGGTGCACGCGGCGCAGCTTCTCCGCAAAGCTGCTCCATCGCACGATGCATCTATGCAGCGCGGCGGCGTTGTCGGAGGTAAACAAAGTGTCAATAACGTGAAGCAAAGTCGATGTTTTCTTTTCACAATACAAGTGGACATTCTTGATACGGACAAACCTCCCAGATTGATTTTCAAGATGTTCTCATTTTAAAACACATTTTGCAACTCATGCCAGCCCAGTAAAAGCATGTTGACCACTTTTTAAGAAACAAAAAACAAAGCACAAATACTCGCTTTAATACAATACAATTATTCGGTATTGCTCTAATTTGTGTTTACCTTGGCGCTTTTTAAGTTCCGTTTCCTCTTTTAGGGTTATCGTCACGTTTGTCTTTTTTGCCTTAAATCGTCCTTTTCGGGGTTGTTAAAAAAATAATTCATCATACACCTAAAAAAGGTTTGTCATTACATAGAAGGATCCCAAGATGGCAGCAAAGCACTGTTTTCTATTCGACGAAGCTTCGTCCTGATTAAATGAAGCTTCACCCCTGCTTTCAACCAATTTGCTTGCTACGACGATGCCACCAAATGGCACTAAATCATTATTATTTGTTTTTTTTTTACATGGGACATGGCTTTACCCCGGGCACAAAAAAATAGAAAGCGATCGTGTCGAGTTTTGAACGAATAACAGAGGCTCGGCTACCCAAACAAGCAAATCCATCATTAAACATATCAGCCAAAAGTCTCACTTGTTGCCAAAGGTAATCTTCCAAAAGTCCCGTGCCTCCGTCTTGGTCAGCTTGTAGGTGTTGCCGTGGTAATGATCACCCGGAAACACAGCCTTGAGCTCCCACAGCATGTGACTGAATAGCAGGGACAGCTTGGTCAAGTCCTTCCTGGCATGGAAACACAACACAGAGGCTGGTCGATTGCTCGGAAGCTCTTGGCGTCAGGGTCATCTTGTGGGAAAGTATGCGAGACGAGCATTCGCGCACGTGTCCTGTTTGTGTTGTTTGTCACAGGATGCTTGTGCTGCTCTTTTGTTTCTGTCAATACCACAAACACTTTCCACTGACTACATTGATGTGCTGCTGCTTATCATTCTTTTCTTCGAACACATTTCCCCACAACAATACAACATAATTTATGTTTAGTTTTGAATGACATGAAACAATGAGTTGATTGTGGTTGGCAGTGCGGGTGTAGAGTTGTGCTGTGACCTGCTGTGAGTTTTTTTTTTTTTTTAAATATAGTCTTGAAAATGAATGCAGTCATTTAATTTTTTTTTTAAATAAATGTATTTTAAATATTTGAAATGCATTTTTACCATAATATACTTGTATGACTTTACATGCTGATATTTTCAACATTTAAAAAAAAGTATTTAAAATATTAAGCATTCGCAACAGTATGTATTTAGGTTTGCTAGTTTAAAAACATTTTGAAAATGTGTTTGAAAAATATTTTTTTACATTTCAAATGCATATGACACAACTTTGACAATTTATTTTATTATTTTTTTTAATGCAGTACACCATGGAGAGAAAAACGTTTTCAAAACACTTTTTAAGTCTGGTTCTTGGGCTGTGATGGTGAATAAGATTGAGATTTCTGGATTAGGTTCTGACAATGTACTTACAATGTGTCCGGTGAGGGTTTCATTTTGCAAATTTATTATTTTGCTTTTATTTATTTTTTTGCTAAAGTGTGCTTGCAAAGATGATTTAAAACAATTGTACGTACCTGTAGCTGGACGTCTCATCAAACATCTTCTCCTTGCCTTCTTTAAACAGCAGCAAGGCCCTGTCCGTCTTTTCCAGCAGGTTCCTGGCGTGGACCCTGAGGTACGCCGCCTCGTCCTCCGCGGGAGCTCGGCCCGTCAGCACCCCGAGGCCTCGGTAGGGCTCCCAGACTCGCCTCAGCGCAGAGGCCGTATCCGGCACCAGCTCGGGCAGGTAAGGCGGGCTGTTCCTGAGGCCCAGCCCGGGGTCCGTGCACAATTCGTGCAGCTTTTCCAACTTCCTCAGAGTTTTGTTGACCAGTCTGTGGTCTGCGTTGCTAGGCCGTTGACACGCCTTTTCTTCTGAGCTGGCCGTCGCCATCCTGACACGTTTGGATGTTGTCGTTTAATGAGTGCTCTCAATTCAAATTATGGTACCACGTTTGGTAACGAAAGAAGATGTTTAAAATGGACACCAGAACACCCTTCGGCTAGGAAATTTTGAGAAAAATTGGTTTAGCCTGAAAGAAATTTGGATGAATTCGAATCTTGTGGCATTATTCAATTCAATTCAATAACAGTCCCTCGCATGCATTTTATGCTGTGTGACCCCTCAAAAATCAGCCAAATAAAAAGTTTCTTCTCCTAAATTATTTGTAATATTTCTACATTAAATGTTTTTAATGCTATTATGTGAATACATAAAAAAAAGCATGATCTTAAAAAATATATTTTAAAAATTATTTTTGAAAAATGTATCAAAATCGCCAAAAAAATTCAAAATGAAAATAGAATTACTAGTACACCATTCCACAATGCTTGTAATCTGATTTCGGACCCCGTTAAAACAAATGTTCTAAATATGTCGGAAAGCAACAGACGAGGGAAATGTATACAGTACTCGGACCAAAAAACAAAATAAAACTGAAAAAAATTCTCTTAAAGTTCTCTTTAAAAAATATAGACACATTAAAATGTAGAAAACTATTTTAGCAAGCAAAGGTAAAAAATCCTATTGGATACCACTGAGTAGTGTTGCATTAAATTTATATTTTTAAAAAGAGCAAGTGAAAAAAAAAATTATACCCAATTATTATTTTTAACAATACTGAACTTGTGCCAGATCAGCATGTCATTTAAAGATAGTTGTTAAAAAAAAAAAAATGCAAACAGGTGTTTTGTGGATATCCTTCACATGTATTTCCACAAGCAATTATCCTCATGCCGCAGTCAAACAAATGTCGGCTTACTCACAACCATAAACCTCGGCTGTCTTTTTAGCAGCTTTTCAGCGCCTTCGGTCAAAGCAGGGTCAGTACGTGCCGATACATCACACTCTCGAATCGTCGGAGAATGCAGTCCGCAGCACCTACCCAAATGCAGCCTTTGCCTGTCACCCTTTTGTGCACTGCTACCGCATACTTCCTGTTTGAAGCCGGAATAACTGGTTTGCTTTGTTTTGAGAGAGAGAGAGAGAGAGAGAGAGAGAGAGATCTAACTTTAACATTAGAACTGTTTTTTTCTTTTTTTTTTTTCCATTTTAAATCTCATCTATGGATGACCTGCCCCATCTGTCCGTTTTAAAAGGGGTGTTCACACGGCAACATTTGCTACGGTGCTGCGCCAGTAGAGCGGTCACACGTGCAAATTTGCTCCGGGGTAGCCCCGGAAAACAGTTTACACCGGAGCAAATTTGAGCCACCTCAGGGAGGTGGTTTAAAAGTTTGCTCCGGAGCAAATGCTCGTTTGCGGAGCAGCACCGATGTAAATTTGCACGTGTGAACCCTCCAAAAGTTAACTCGGCTGTATTTCTGGAGCACTTTTCCACCGCTGTATACAAAGTGCTGTGCCCGGAGCCTAAATCATTCATACAGCAAACAATAAATGAAAAACAAATACGGTAGAAAGCACAAAAATGGTCCAACTAAAAATCAAGTCTCATGCTGAGTCAAAAGCCAAAGAATAAAAATGAGTTTTTAGACGAGTTTTAAAGATGGGCAGCGAAGGGGATTGCCAAACGTGCAAAGAGAGGGCAACGGAAAAGGCTCGATCCCCTCTGAGCCTCCACTGAGTTCTCGGTACCTTGAATAGCATCTGGTCCGCAGACCTGAGGCACCCTTTCAAGATTTGAAAACAAATAACAGGATTTTAAAAAGAACTCTAAAATGTAGATATGGGATGCCAGAGTAGGAGTTATATGCTCCCTCTTCTGAGCACCAGTCAAATAGAGCACAAAAGTTTCCCCACCTCGATCGACAAAAAAAAAAAAAAATCTGCATAATTATAACACTGTGTGCTCTGAGAGCCGTTAAATATTTTCCTTACTTTGAGTTATATGAGACCCACAATGTTAAACGAGTACTGCATTGTTCGATTTTTAATAAACTGTACACTCTGCACAAGACCTCCCCTCCCACAAGGGGGCACTATATCATTAAAAAAAAAAAAAGACAAGTGTCATGATGGCATCACATTTCGCTCTACCTCGGAAAATCCGGAACACCTCTGACCTAATGACCCTTTCTGAACTCTACTTGCTGTACTTAATGTTCTCTAGTACATACTTGACGACCCCCGTGTCTATATTGCTTTTTTTCCTGGATGACAGCTGGCTCATATAAATCTCTGATGCTTCCTTTTTTTTTTTTTAATTTCCCTTCCTCCTCCTAACATGAAGGTCAGAGACATTTCCACTTCTTCCAGATCTTCAGCTAATTTCGGCCAGGAGACTCTCGAGCGTGTCTTGGTGGGATCTGCCAAGAAAACGTCACCAGGAAGACATCGTGGCATCCTGATCAGACTGACTGAGACACCTCACCTGGTTCCTCCCAGTCCGAAAGAGCGGAAGCAGCAGTGGCTGAGCCAGTCCCGGATGACCGGGGTTCTCGCTGTCACTTGTATTTGGGATCTTCCGCCGCCGTGGAAAAATGTAGCAATTTAGGTACTGAAATGAGTTCACATCCAACATAAGAAGACCACAGCATGTGCTTTAAAAACAACTTCTTCCTTCTTATTGTCTTTTTTCCTCATGTTTGTTCTCTTTTTGCCATTTTTCATTCCTGAAAACTTGCGGGGGGGAAGGGGGGAGTCTGTTTGTCAAAGCACCGCTCTAATTGTAGTCCTGAACACATTTGAAAGTTGCCAATGATTGCACCAAACATCCCTTGGTGTCTTACTCTGCGGAAAATTGTCGTTTGTGTTTTCGGTCAATCATCAGGGGGGAGAACATGTGCAGTCAGTCACTCTGGGTCTTTTAGGGACTTTAGACAGCAAACGTTGGGGCTACTCCACACTTGAGTGGAAGCAGGAAAGTACCAAAGTGGCCTGGCGTGTAAGTTGAACCGTCAGGAGATGTTTGTGCATGTGACATGTCGAGGTGTGTTTGTGGTTGTGTGACAGATTGGAGACTCTGCTTTTTCTTCTCACAGTTCCTTGTTATGCTTCTTGGCCCGCAGACACATGACGGTCGCGAGAGCTCGGGAACAATGGCCGCCTTTGATGACACCCCACTGACACTTAATGTGCGCACTGCTCCTAGACCTTATAGATCAGCGCACTTAGGGGCTGTCACTTTCCCACCATCTTGTGACATTTATCGGGAATTATGAACCTTTCAGGCGGGCTGTGTGAAAACGCTGATTGGTATTTTTCCACTTGGTAAACTTTTATTCAAGATATCACCTGCTTCACCAGTGATGGGACATTGTGATCGTCTAGGATTGTGATTCGTCCAAAACGTAAAGACTGGCAGAGGTTTCTAGAAATGGGCAATGTGTTGACTGTGATATTTATGCTTCCTAATTCTTGTGAGAAATCATAAACACGATCACCGTCATCACATTAATGAGTATCATTAGTGACGCCAAATGGCATACAGTAATGACATTGTTCAAGGTGATTTGAGCAAAGTGGTTATTTCCGGAGGGTGCATCAAATTGGTCGTCCTTCGCATCATTCACGACCCAAGAAGTAGCTCTCAGTTTCAAAACGGTTGGTTGGTTACCCGTGCACTAGAGGGAATCTACGTACTGTTGGTGCAATGCGCAACACACTTTGAGAACCACTACCACTGCATATTGTGCTGTAATACATTTTGAACTTCTATGCAAAAATTCTACCACCCAAGTTGGTAATGCACTTTTTCTGTACTCCCCCCTAACACACGCACACACACACACACACACACACACACACACACACACACACACACACACACATCTATGGTGAGTTACAATCATTCACTTTCATTTTAAACAGAGCGCAATGGTGAGGAGCACCGAGGCAGTTGCACGTTAACTTCAAAGCAAAATTTGCAGTCAGCACAAAAGAAGTTGAAGGTGGCTACATTTTAGAAACCATTCAATTCGTATTCATTCAAAAAAAAAACACCTATTACTCCAAAGGGATTTTTTTGTTCATGGTGATAGGTTTTGCCAGCTGTCTGTCCGATTTTTATTGTCACCAGATTTCCAGTGAACCACCGAGACGCACCTGAGACAATTGACGGGGCAGCGCGCGCGCCTCCCTCCCGGTTGATGCCGACGGTCATGACCATGAACGGTGACGGCCGCTCGCTCGCCGCCGCGCCGCTGGACCTGAGCACCGGTCAGCGGGGGAACACGTCGTCCGCAGCGGAACCAGAATGCGGAACTTGCCGGAAGGAGACCGTCCGCTCACCTGCGCCGACGCCTCCGCACACTTGCGGCACGTTCGCTGCGGCGCCCGGCTGCCTTCGCAAAAAGCCGGCCGACAAAGCTTCCCTCCGGCTTCCTTTTCGGAAACGACCGATCACCGTGGAGCCGGAGGAGCGAGCGTCAGGAGAAGCGGGGCCGGCGAGGTGTCTTTCCCGGACTGGAGAGGCTGCTGATCCGCCGCCGCGAACGAGGACAGCCGAGGGTCGGCTGGCTGTTGCTCGGGTAACCCGGACGCACAGTGACGAGGCTCCGCGCACTTTTGAAGTTCGTCCCGTCCACGCCGTGCCCCCGTTGACTTATGGTGAGTACCGCGACGACCTCTCGTGACATTAGTTACATTTGGACACGCGCTGAAATGCCGTCCATCGTGTATTCGCGGGTGAGAGGGACCGGCTCGCCCGCAATTTGTTAAAATCCGCTTATAATTGGCGCCAGTTCAAATGCATTGGGGACGTTTGTTTTTCATACCCAGAAACAAAGAACTTTAAAAATACATATGTACAGTACTGTAGTTTTTAAACTTTTTTATGTAACGGACTGACTTTATATCACATATATTGTACTTAAAATATAACAATTTTATCGAATGGCCCAATTATATACAATATAAGAAAAAATGTTAGGTATATTGAGTTTTTCGGACAGCTTTCAGAATGAATGCAACTTTACAGGTGAACTTAATTTGACCTCATATTTATGTCACAAATAGTTCTGCTGATTCTGCCTCATACGCTCATGGAAAAAAAATCTAAATTTACACACTCGGGAACTTTTATTACTTTCTTGTTTAATCTATTCAATGGATGTTTACTTAATGCAAATAAAACTAATTTTTATTTTTTTTATGTATTTAATTAAATGCAATATGTCTTCCTTCCAACTGGTGTCACTTCACAATTATGTTTCACCAAAAGCTGTCAAGAGCTTCATAAACACTCTCACACATATACACGAGGACAGTGATTCTTAACCTTGTTATAGGTACCGAACCCAACCAGTTCGTATGCACATTCACCGAACTCATTAGTGAAAAATAAAAATATGATTTTTTTTTTTTACAAATTCAAGACAAAAAAAATGCATTTATTAAAAAGAGGAAAAAAAGTCAACACAATTAGTAGAAGTATAAAGTATACGTTTTTTAATTGTGCACAAAATGAACCAGCCAGTGATGGCCAAGCAGGCGTGTCATAACTAACTGACATGTTGAGTCGGGTGTGTCTTAACCTCCATGGCAGAGGTTCCATCGAACCCCTGAGACCGATTGATTGAACCCCTCAGGTTCGATTGAACCCAGGTTAAGAACCACTGCACTAGGGCATAGGTGTCAATGTCCGGTCCTCGAAGGCCGGCGTCCTGCGTGTTTTTCATCTGTCCCTGCTGCAACACACCTGATCCAAATGATCAGCTCATCAGCAACAATATAACATAAGTTGCAAGGCACAGTGAAAGATTGATAAGAATGATGATGAAGCCAAAATGGAAGGTTTCAATTAAAATATCAATATTAATCTACACCCCCACTGGCCAGATCATTAGGTACACCTACACATGACACATCTAATATTTTGGAGCCCTTCATTAGCTCCATGACAAGGTTACAAAAAATATATATGGCAATTAGCAGTGTGACGCAGTCCACTCTACAATCAAAATCCTAAACGTTAAAATGATACCCATCGTGTCAATCACATATGAGGGCTGTAACCTTTTGTAGAGTCAAAATAATTGCGTTGGGTCTCATGAAACAGCGCTGGTGAAGGCTACCTAATATGGTCCAAATTCCCACAGTGTTACTCGAAACGCGCTTCCTCCTGTGGCTTATATGTTGAGTGACACATGGCCTCTGTCGTGTCATCAAGGGCTCATGCAACCGACGACTCATTGAGAAAATGTCCAGTCAGTGATTCCCCTTTTGTCTGAAGTAGCTCACAGGGTCAGCCCCAAGTCAAATCCACCACTGATTGCGCTGCTGTGTTTGTCAGGTCACTACTCGATGTACGTCTACCCAGAGTTGGGCCATCTCGGCTTCCACCACACACAGTACCTGCTGACGAGCGTCGCGCTGGCCACTCGGCAAGATGAAGACGGAGACACGTATGAGCTTTTCCTCTTAAGTTGTCAATCACTACTACAAGGCAAGGCCATTCCATTTATATTGAGCATTTCATCCACGAGGCAACTCAACGTGCTTAACAAAAGCAATGACACAATACCTAAAGCAGGGGTGTCAAACTCATTTCACATGGTGGGCCACATACGGCCTCGGTAGATGTCAAGTGGGCCGGACCATTAAAATGATACAATACTTTGCTATAAATAACCAAAACAATATGTCTTTCCTTTGTTTTGGTATAAAGAAGCACAAGAACATTAGGAAAATGTTGAAATTTAATGAACATATCTTTTACAAAACATTTCATGAAGCACCTTACATTTCCTTCGACAAATGTGCAATTTACTTTTATCATTCACATATATGCATTGCAACTGATCCCACTGATTGTACAAACTTTAACAAGTAATTGGTATTGAAAAATATAGTAATGCACTTTAAGATTAAACAAGATTCAGAAAGAAAGCAAGTTTTAAAGCATTTACACGTGCATATAAAGTCTAAATGTAATCCCTGCCTACACCTTACAAACTAAGGAGAGTGCTATTAAATGTGTAAATTTGAGAGTGCTATTGATAGCATCTGCTGTCATGGGTCTGTCTCAGTGACAGACTGAGGCTGCTGTTGTCTTCTTCTCTGATCAAAACAGTGCCCCCTTGCGGATACTCAATGAATTGCACCTGATTAAAAATATTAATTCTGTGTCTTTAATGCATTTTTTTCACTTTTACATTATCCTGCGGGCCTGATTGAACCTACTTGCGGGCCGGTTCCGGCCCGCGGGCCGTATGTTTGACACCCCTGCTTTACATAATCATCTCGCGGGCCGGATTAAACTCCTTTGCGGGCCGGATCCGGCCCGCGGGCCGTATGTTTGACACCACTGACCTAAAGGCATTTAAAGACACAACAGGTAATGGCATTCAGAGGCAACGCAGAGAAAACAAAAGTAGCTGACTAAAATGGCGAGAAGGATTTACACTGACAACATTGAAACACCTTAACAGAAGACGTCAAAAACATTGAAATTAGGTTTTTTAAATTTGTGCAAAGATCATACTCTGAAACAGATTGAAACATTTTTAAAAGACCATCGTCAACCTGGATTGAAAAGCATTTACACTTGAATTTGACTTCACTCTTCTGGGCAGCTTTTTCAATTTGCATGCAGCATAACAGCTAAATGAGGCCTCGTCATGTTTGCTTTGAACTCTGGGCTCCAGTAATTGACTCAGGTCTACAGACCTCAAAGCCCTACTGGGTTTTTATTCAATCAGAATTTCTTTCATGTAGTCAGGACCTATATAGTCCAATAACAGATTGTTACAGTCTATTCTACACCTGACCGGGAGCAAGTGTAAAGCCTTTAGGACTGGAGTAGCATCTTTTGATCTCGTAGTACTAGCCAGAAGTCGGGCTGCAGCTGTTTGATGCTCTTTTGAGGGAATCGAGCCATAGACCGTTAAAATAATCAAGACTTACTGGAGGTAAAAGCATTGCTAAGTTTCTCCTGGTCTGCTTGGAGCACGCAACCCTTCACTTTGGGTATGGCTTAGATTAGCATTTCAAAATCTTGTGTCACAAATATTTTCAGTATAGTTTGAAGACTGACTGTATCGGCTATAATTTCCCCACCGTGCTTTTCTCAAGGAGCTATTTGCAAGCGCATATACAAGATGTTTGTGTGCAACGTGATGGCTACCGTGCATCGCCGCTTACGTCAATGCGGGTCCTTGGGGTCGCTAAAAGCAAGAGTGTGATGTATCAAGCACCCGGTGTGGTTTTTCTCGGGTATGTGCGCCTCGCCAATTGGGCCTTTTTGAATGAATAGGCCCGAAAAACCAAACATCCGCTCCTTACTTCCTCATTTACCGCTCTCTCTGTCTGTCTCTATCAGCTTCAGCTTCCTATTATGCTGATGTGTGCTCTCTGACGTGTGCGCACGTTCTTCTCGCATCCAAGTCAGAGGAGGCCTCGCTTTGTTTGGCCCGGGTCATGTGCCCATTTGTGCATCAATTTAAATCCCATTTCTGTCCCATCGGAAAGCATGGAAATGAGATTATAGCGCCCCAGTGTGAAAATTTTGTCATTGTTCAACTGAACTAACTGCACAGGCAATATTTTAAGTACAAGGGTAAAAAAGAGTTGCGTATGAAACTAAAATGAAATAAATGAGAGTGATACCCCGTTGATCTTGATGACACTCAGGACCCATCTGCAGTCAAAGAAAACACAAAGATCATTAAAAATAAATAAATACAGTGGTACCTGTACTAATGAAATTAATTGGTTCTGGATGATATTTCTTAACTAGAAAATGTTGTAAGTAGAGACGCGTTCACCCAACCCCCCAAAATTCAGACAGAAATGTTTTCTAAAGCATAAAGATGTATCAAAATATGTGACAAATACATGTTACAATTAGATTATTGCACAATAAATGAGAGTTGTGCATAATGTAAAAAACAAAGAATAGAGTAAAGACTAAAAATGATGGTCATTTAACTTTAAACTGCGTCCTCTTCGTTTTTTGCACTCTTTAGTTCATATTCTCTCTCGGAAGTGGTTTTCGCCTGGCATTTTGTCAAGACTGACCCAAGGACGTTTGCTTTTGTCGGCTTTTAACAATCCTTTGAAAATGTCCAAGTCACACATCAGCATAGTGAGCGATCGCCCGACTGGTGAACACTTTTTCTGGGTGATTCACATTTATGTAAAACTATCGTAAAATTTCGTATGAAGAGACGTTCGTAAGTAGAGGTACCACTGTACTTTTATTGTAGGCATTAGTGGTCGCGCTCTGGGGTGGTTTAGATCCTACTTGGCGCCTTTTGTGTTAGCCTTGGTTGCTCTGCCTCCCACTCTGCCCCACTGTCGTTTGGTGTTCCACAGGGTTCAATTTTGGGGCCCCTGTTGTTTCCAATGTATTTGCTAATCCTGTTTTCCATCTTGGGAAAGCATTTCGATGACAGTCAGATCTATGTCCTGCAAGGCAAAAAGAATTTTCTCCTTCAGGCCACTTTTGTCTTGTCTGGAGGAGTTCAAAGCCTGCATAGCACTGAATTTCAATAAAAAGCATACAGAAGTTATGGTGTTTGGTCCAGTGGCACTTGTACATCTCAATCCAACAGTCTGACTTTTTGAGTCCTGTGCTGGTTAATGTTAACTGTCATACAAGTCAGGGCTCCAGACTACCCTTCATTGGTCACATTTTTCCCCTTAAATGTTAAGTTATTCATTCCATTAAATGGTCGGTTGATTGAGTTCTTCTTAATACCGAAATTGAACACATCCACACAATAGCCATTTTATACAGTCAACATTTTTACCCGTTGTATTAATTGGTTCATTAATTATACTTCTGAATTATTAATTATTGAGTTAAATTATTTTAAATGTTGAATTATTTTAAGAAATTATTCAGCCGTTCACCCAACCCCCCAAAATTCAGACAGAAATGTTTTCTAAAGCATAAAGATGTATCAAAATATGTGACAAATACATGTTACAATTAGATTATTGCACAATAAATGAGAGTTGTGCATAATGTAAAAAACAAAGAATAGAGTAAAGACTAAAAATGATGGTCATTTAACTTTAAACTGCGTCCTCTTCGTTTTTTGCACTCTTTAGTTCATATTCTCTCTCGGAAGTGGTTTTCGCCTGGCATTTTGTCAAGACTGACCCAAGGACGTTTGCTTTTGTCGGCTTTTAACAATCCTTTGAAAATGTCCAAGTCACACATCAGCATAGTGAGCGATCGCCCGACTGGTGAACACTTTTTCTGGGTGATTCACATTTATGTAAAACTATCGTAAAATTTCGTATGAAGAGACGTTCGTAAGTAGAGGTACCACTGTACTTTTATTGTAGGCATTAGTGGTCGCGCTCTGGGGTGGTTTAGATCCTACTTGGCGCCTTTTGTGTTAGCCTTGGTTGCTCTGCCTCCCACTCTGCCCCACTGTCGTTTGGTGTTCCACAGGGTTCAATTTTGGGGCCCCTGTTGTTTCCAATGTATTTGCTAATCCTGTTTTCCATCTTGGGAAAGCATTTCGATGACAGTCAGATCTATGTCCTGCAAGGCAAAAAGAATTTTCTCCTTCAGGCCACTTTTGTCTTGTCTGGAGGAGTTCAAAGCCTGCATAGCACTGAATTTCAATAAAAAGCATACAGAAGTTATGGTGTTTGGTCCAGTGGCACTTGTACATCTCAATCCAACAGTCTGACTTTTTGAGTCCTGTGCTGGTTAATGTTAACTGTCATACAAGTCAGGGCTCCAGACTACCCTTCATTGGTCACATTTTTCCCCTTAAATGTTAAGTTATTCATTCCATTAAATGGTCGGTTGATTGAGTTCTTCTTAATACCGAAATTGAACACATCCACACAATAGCCATTTTATACAGTCAACATTTTTACCCGTTGTATTAATTGGTTCATTAATTATACTTCTGAATTATTAATTATTGAGTTAAATTATTTTAAATGTTGAATTATTTTAAGAAATTATTCAGCCCTTGAACACACACTTTCCCACCCCTGCTTGAGATGCTCACAGGTGTGAAGTCTAAAGCATGACGGAGGCATAAGACGTGACGTCGATGTATGTTGTGTTTCTCGTCTGCTGCAACTTTTGGGGTTATCTGCATGCGGCCGTGTGGTCTGCCCCACTTCCAGGAACTCAGCACAGTTTCACCTTATGAGAAAAGGAGACCAATTGATGGTGGCAGTAAAGAGAACACCGTCGGCGCGGTTTTGGGACGACATACTGTACAGAGTACAGTACGGGTGATCAGGATAGACACAGCATTATGCACTGCTGCAGAATCTGCACGATGCAAAAATGTTGCCTTTACCAAGATGAAAATGCTGATTCGATGAGAATTCTGTCAATGAAATAGACACACTTGCAAGAAAAGTACATGCATTATTTGTAAAAATCTGGATTTCTTTGTAAATTGAATCTCAAAATGTCATCTGATCACACCGACATTGATGCGCACTGTACGCCACGTCTGCGTCAGCCTACGCCTCCAAATGCACGGAGGACTTCAGCGTCAGGAAGGCCATCTGCACCCAAGCCAAGAAAAAACCCTGGATGACCGACATACAAAAGATGTCCAACTCAGCCTTCAAATAGGGCAACGTGTTATATAATGACCGTATCTTCTATGATAACTACTCACCAGGACACGGGAAACAACAGCACATCTGTGTTTAGATCTGAAGCTATTGCCAGAATGCTAACCATGACATGGCAAGAGCTTGCGGTGAAAAAGAGATGGGCAGTTTTCCTCATCGATCGCTTTTCTTTTGGGTGGGCATCAAATCCTGGTTTAGAATGACTTTTGGAAGACTCATGAATCCCGCCCCCCACTCCCACACACACACACACACACACACACACACACACACACACACACAAAGCCTCACCAATGGCAAATGATGCTTTGTTAACAGGGCTTGCCGACCAAAATGTTCGCCAGCAATGCATTGTGGGTAATCTAAAGAGCTCAAAACACTCTAACACCGGGGAATAAAAAAAAAAACTGCATCGTAGTAAATGTCTCCTTTTAAGGCAGGTTAGAATTGAGCCTTTGTTAACCCAGAAGTCATCAAGCTGTGTGCGTGATGATGTCACTTACAGGAATGAGTAGCAGCTGCAGACTTTCACATACATCTGCTTTTTTCACTTCACATGCCTCGGTGACGCTTCCTATGCGTTACCGCATTTGCTTCTATCAAATATCTTCCATCAAAGGCGCTCTCATTACCGTTTGACGATGCCCCGATGCGTCCTGTGCACAGGGCGCTTGGAACATCTTCTCGAGAAAAGGCGACGGTTTCCTGTTGCACAATCTTTGCAGTTTGGCAAGAAAAGCCCCTTCTCGTGCTAACATAGATGGATTTCACACCGCCTGGCCACATGAAGAATGCGGCCATTGTTAGCAACAGCAGGAAGTGACGTGAAAACCCTTCATGCCACTCTTACTGGAAGCTAGCGGCTGCGTGAAAGAAAAAAAAAAGAGATAACGGCAGTGCAGGTGCGCTCCCTTGTCGATTGGTGGCCTTTGCAGATTATAGTGTGCCAATATTCCTTCATTTTTAAAAAAAACAACAACAAAAAAACACAATTTTTATTTTTCTGGAACAGATTAATGGCATTTTCATGCGTTTCAATGGGAAAAGATGATTTTAGACACAAGTCTGTGGCGGCCCCCGCTGTAAAGATACATATGGACGCCTAATTGTGGTCTTCATTACAGAGCTCTGCACATAGCGGTGGTGAAAGGAGAGCTGGCCATCGTGCGGCAACTCGTGCATCTGCTGCAGCGCGCTGGCAAAAGCCTCGACATCTACAACAACCTCCGACAGGTGAAGCAACGCATCACATTCTTCATATCGTACACGCACACTGTTGGATTTTATCATCAACATCATCATCAAAGCGCCCATCAGGGCAACATGATGCAACTTGCATCCACACAGCAGGTAAACCACATTCCTCTGCCTCGCCTAACATGGAAAAGAATGAAAGAGGAAGTGGCGCTGTTTCCTGTTGGCCTCGTGTTTTTGCTCGCACATTCTCTCATGACTCGTGATTATTCAATGGAATTCACCTTTTTGTTTGTTGATTTTTTTGGATCCTGTGTTTTGTTTTGGTGATGATCTTTTTCCCGGTTTTAGTATCAAAAGGGATTTGGATTGACTTTTTTTTTTCAGGATTTACCATATTGTGAAAGACAAAATGCCCCTGCAATGATACAGATGAATGATAATGACATTTTCTAATAACACTGCAAGTTGTATACAAAAATGAAGCGTTTAACCCCCTGATATATGCATTTTGGTGGCAAAAGCTTACTCAAAAAAAAAAAAAAAGTAGAAAAATGTCAACCCCACCAAAATGCCAATTTTCTACTAATCATTGCTCTCCTTTCACACAAATTCTAAAATGAAGCATTTTCAAGTAGCTCCTAAATCCGTGCTCTTCATATAAAATCTTTCCAAATAATTTTCAGGGAGCACGGACAATGTTAGTTTTTTACCGAGCCCCAAGAAATGCCAATTGTATTCACACCACGGGCACAAAACACTCTCTGGTGGCAACAAAACGGGTATAGGGTGTGCACAAAATGCAACTTCATAGTGTGGATATTATTCCTGGACAGCTGGGAAAAGCAAGTGTACCTTCTCTAAAAAAAATTTGGTAAAGGATTTAAGCAGTTTCCAGATTGCAGTTTGTTCATTGGCATGATACTGTGCGCTCGTTTTACCGTATGTATTTTGTGGCCACAAATTAGCATTTTATGTGCACTGACACTGTGGCCGCAATTTTTACATTTTTTCCCCTCCATGTCATGTCTGAGGCTCTGTACACTTGAAACTTCAAAACCCTTCTAAATAAAGTTTTTGGATGTAAAAAAAAAAAAAAAAAAGTCACTTCAGTGCACAAATATTCTTATAATCATAGTGCTTTTTAAAAAATACAAAATCTTACTAAAAAATGCTTTTTCTTTGTACCTTATTAATTGCAAAATCTGTGGCGCTTATGGCTTATTTGCACCTCGTAGTCGATTTATTTTATTTTTTTACGAGTACACTCTTTATCTTGACTCGTAAGAAAATTCAGTGCACTTAGTACTTTTGAATAAATCCTCTCCATTTAGCTTTGACAAGCTTGTCAACCAATTTACGGTCCACGTCTTAGTGCACTTTTTATCCACCGGCGTGTTTCTGGCTTGACATTTATTCCAGACATTCCATGATATGCTGCACGGACCGAAGCACATGACATTACATCCACGTTTGTGCTAGTTGCCGCTAAGACAAATGAATTCTTTTTAAGGTTTCGTCGAGTCTCCTGAGGCGTGCAGAGCTTCATACCCCGGGCGGGGGGGTGGGGGGGGTCACCGTACCGAGGTGTCCCACTTACCAGAAATAACACGAGCGCTGTCTTTTTCTCATCGCTGCAAAGTTGTGCGATATCCTGTCTGCTCCCCTGCACCTAAACAATCGCCTCACACCCGCACTTTACAGTACCTATCTCGGCACACGTGTCCTTTTAAAAAAGTTTGCCGTGTTTACATTCTGGCCAGGCGCTATCCATTCATGCTCGTGTGTCTTATACAAGAGCAACACGTAGAAGAAGAGAATATTTCCAATACTTCAGAGTTTCTGTGGTTGGAGTGCATGGAGCATTTTGACAAGAGTGATACTATCGGTGCCCTTCATGAACGATACTGCAAGTGCTCGAATGCCGCCGAATAAAGAGAACATGACGGATGTTTAAACACTCAGTATGTGCGCCCAAATCCTTCGGGGGGGGCGGGGGGGCACACCGACTTTGCGCTGATTATCATGCACATAAGAATGCGGTGACTGCGACGCGAGTGACAACTGCAATTTGGTAGGCCTGTCTGTCCTGGGATGACTCACGAAAAATTGTCGAGAACCATTTTTGTTTTAGTGGCCATCTTAGGCAAGGCCAGCCAGTTTTATTTAGACAGCGCATTTCGTACATAAGATAACTCAATTTGAATTGACCCGAGTCTGCTTACCTCAGAACACTTTAGGATTATTTTGGCCATGTTCAGAGGTTCTCCAAATATAAACACATTGTTGATAGCTTGTTTTTCTTTTCTGCTACCAAATTTTAAACTGTACCTATGTGAATTTTTGAAGGTATGTTTGTCAAGAATAGACCCACAAAAAAGCCCAGAGAACCACGCCGCAACTCAGGGGGCTGCCATTTTGGTTGTATAGTGCACTCTGCTGTCGATTGGAATTGACGTCCGACTGCCCTCGGGCTCGCATTGGAAACGTAACGAGAACAAACCGAGAAGCGGTGTTCACAACACGAGCCTGAAGGCAGATTTTATTTTTTTCCATTTTTTGCTATTAGTGGGTCGGGCCAGTCCTTATTCCCTGCCAATAGTGGGGGTCAACTGTATCTGTGTGTTACATATGTACTGATAAGAGGTGGAGCCTAATTGGGTGTCGTGTGAGGTCAGCGAATCTGCGTGCGAGTGTCCAGGCGTGAGCTGTGGCTGTCAGCTGCTCCCGTGTTCATGAGCTTTGTGTTTTACTGTTTTCCTGGCATTCACTGGTGAAAAGGTGCATGACGACTGTGGCTCTCCTTTCCCACAAACGAAGGCATCAGAGATTGTAAGCGTATTAGTGGACAGCAACCCCCCAAACACCCCACCCCCCCAAAAAAAATCACTATAAGCCATAGATTTGCACAATATATTTAGCGATAGACAAGTCGATACATTTCACACCATAAATCACCGATGTGGCAGGGTAGTTGTGAGCCGTGGCATAGCAGGCAAACACGGCACATATAAAAAGAAAAAACATCACATTGATTGAGATTCACTTCTTTGTTTTGGTACACGCACACGCCAAGCATCTGCCTGTTGATGTGTACTTTGATATCGTTGTTCCGAGAAGTCACGTGACAACCCCCCCCTCGCCCAACCCCTCCTCGTCTTGCTTGAGGCTGTTTCGTAACATACCTGAGGTTCACAGGGTGGTTCGCGGGGACTTTCCCTTCTTGCACGTCGCGCTGTTCCTCTCTCTCTCTCTCTCTCACTCGCTCGCGCTCTCATAGCACTTCTAACTCAAAGTCGCTGTGACGGTATCAGCCCCCCCCCCCCATGTTTATTTGTGTGCAAGCAGGAAAGCATGAGCTCTTTGCAGTTGTCTGCTTGGCGTGGCATGAGAGGCATTTCATGGTCCACTCATCTCTGAGGAATGCCAGAGTACGTAGGGAAAGATGAGGGATTTTCCCTCGCCATCCTGCCTTCCTGCTCTTCCTTGTTCCACACGCACGCACGCATGCACGCACACTTCCTCTTATCGATGCCCTAGTTTTGTTTTAGTCACTCTCGAGGCTTTTTTTTTTTTTTTTTTACGGGAAAGGCCGCTTCGAAAGCCTAATTATGGAGAGGAGATGGGTCGGTTCCTGTTCGATAGGATCAGAATGACGCATTCAGGAATACTGTAAATATATGAGTCTGTGTGTGTTTGTACATGTGCGTGGATGTGTGTGCGTGGATGAGTGAGTCACAAGATTCAGGGAAAATGACGGACAACGGCGTAATTGGGTGAAGTCCATAAAGACGATCTTTTAACTTTATTGCTTAACTGGAAAGTCGGCCCCTTTCCCCAGCAGTGAAAATACAAGTCAGTCATGCTTAAATTTGAGCATGTATCACCAAAAATAAAACAAAAAAAAAAAACAGCACAGTGGCCCCAGTGTGTAGTGCGCAGATAGGAGGGAGATTCTGGGTTTGAATCCGGGTCATCCTGTGTGGCGTTTGCATGGTGTTTTATGAGGAGCTGCAAGGTAAGTAATTCAGGATGACATTTTACACACACGACTGAAAAGTGTCTCCCACATCTAACTGAAACACTGTCTCACACATGCGCACACACACACTCACACTATATCGTTGAACCGCTATCACACACTTCTCCTTGAACATTCTCCCACGCGCTACTGAAACCTTGAGCCACAACAACGCTACAGAAAAATATTGAGGTTTGTTTTACACTCTGTGCTGTTGACCAGGTGTTATCTAGCTTCAAAAACACTCCCAGAAGATAAAATTACATTTTGCCGTGACAATATTAACAGTTGAATAAGTCAGGTCAGAATTAGACTGCCTTCGAAAATATATACCGGTATGTTAAGTGAACTGGAGAAACGCAATTTATTGATGTAAAACGAATAGCTTGGTCATCTGAAGTGAATGAAAAAAAAAAATCTCATTAACACTCGAAAAAATTTATCTTTTTGTTTCATTAAAAGAGAAACTTTATTCTTTCACGATACTGTTAAAAATCTACTTCGTTATTCGCAAAATTGATTGTCAATTTATTGTTAGGTTGGGTTGTCGCGATGTCTGTGATGTAACTAATACAGGAACTTGTAAACTTAGTTACTTATTAAATGAAGCAATCGGTAAATTGAGGTGCTTTTAAAGTCATGTAATCAGCAAAGTACCCAAGTTACTTTTTCAAGGTAACTGGCAACCACTCAAACATTCGCATGCATGCCTAAAATATTACACAAGCGCAAGATGTCCTCACTTTTATGGTTTAAAAGTCCACACCCACTTCCAATAAGTCAATCAGAGAGCAAAGAGCAAAAGTGAAACTTCATGTGTGTGTTTTTTTCAGTTGCTATTTATTGTGCAACCTGTCCAAATATGAGTGGAAAGTCCACTTCCCTGTGTGCGCTGAACGCAACGCTCGCTTTATTTAAACACGAGCGTCCTTGCTGGGCAGTGTCGACATGTTTATCGGCAGTGTGACACTCGCTGACCTCACACTCGGGAATATCCCGCATTGCTCCAGTGATCCCTCGTAGATTCATTCAGTCTAGTATTTCTCTATTTGAGTCATTCCCGACCGATATCCTGTGAGAATGTATCTTAAGTCATCTGTATATGCCGCTGACGTATATTGACAACCAGAACCATGAAGTGTTCATCATAATAGCTCTTAATAAATATGTAAAAATGACAACATGGTTTTTGGTTTCTTAAATAGGCGTAACACTCAGGCGTTGGGTCCGCTTTGTGTCTTTTCGTGTGTGCTGTGTCGTGACGACATTGAAATGTCATGTGCATTGTGAAACGTCACCTTTTCGGTGCACCTCCAAGTATTTATGACCTCCCCCTTTCCGACAGACTCCCCTTCACCTGGCAGTGATCACTCAGCAAGCCAACATGGTGGAGGCGCTGCTGAGGGCCGGCTCGGACCCCTCGGCGTTGGACCGCAACGGCCAGACGGCGTTGCACCTCTGCTGCGAATACGACCATCCCGCGTGTCTCTCCGTGGTGCTCTCGCTGCCCTCGTCCGCCGCCTGCCTGGAGATGAAAAACTTTCAGGGTAACGCTGCGCTTGTGAGATCCGCAAAGAAACATGAAGTGAAGTACATGAAGCCCGCGATTGGCAAAATCCACACAAGAGCCACCAATTACTGTGGAACGTCTCTTTTTACGAAATTTTGAAGTTACGAAACGTCTCAACAGGAAAAGATTGCCTCTTGTTACGAAAGAAAATTCAAGATACGAAAGGTAAAAAATACAGTGGGACTCGCAGCTCCGAGTTTTCCTGAGTACAAAACAAACAAAACAAACATGGTGAATCGGCAATTAGCTGTTAGGCTGCACGCAAATGGAATAAGCTGCCAACAGAAGTGAAGTCAGCCACACGTGTAAATGCTTTTAAATCCAGGGTAAAAACGCAGTTTTTTCCCCCCTATACATATGAAAGCATTTCTGTAAATTTTTTTTCCATATCGTGTTTTTGTGTTCTTTTTGTACTCTGACGCAACCGTTTTTCTTTACTACGCTTTTAAACGTCTGAAATTCTTTTGGTTGTAAATGCCTTGAAATGTTGCGGGTTTCACCGCACAATCCATGTGCATCTCTCGCTCAGCTGTTTACATTGTGCCCCTCCGCAGGTTTGAGCCCCCTCCACGTGACCGTACTACACGGACACCGAGACTTAGCCGCCATGCTGCTGGCAGCAGGCGCTGACGTCAACACCATGGTTAGTCCGTTCGTTGCGATCAATGACTCGTCAGGCTCTTTTCATTTCATCCCACCTGCGTCAGACGGATGACTTTACCGCACCAACTTCATTAGGACATCAAGAGTGGCCAGAGTCCCCTCATTCTCGCGGTGGAGAGCAACAATGCGGAGATGGTCCGCTTCCTCATTGAGGTAAACAGATTGTGTGGGAAGCCTTGTGACTCAGCTTCAGATGAAACACTGGCTTTGAAACGTCTTGGTTCTAAAATGACCACATTAAGCTACCCGTTGATTTAAAAAAAAAAAAAAAGTAAAAAAAGGCCTTTAATTGGCTTCCAAACTGTCTCCGTGAACGCTAAATGAGGAAACACCGTAGGCAAACACATTTAAAATTAGCATCTGTGTGGCGTTGTGGTGGTGGTGTTGCTGCCGTCTAAGCAGCAGGTATCTGAACACAAATGGTGCTGCAACACATGCAGATAGACCATGGAACAACACTCACAGCCATATATTATTTATCCTCTGTGAAGAACGACGACTAGTACTGCCTGACTGAGAAGCAGAGAGAGGAACTGAGCCTCCATTGTAGGATATTCGTATGTCTGTCTTGTTCTGCCCCTAGGTGGCCAAGATTCACACACCAGAATGATAGATCAGGTTGTTGAGAAGTACAAATCATGTTGGGGTTAAAAACAAACAAACAAAAAAAAAACAAGTAAATAAACCCAAATATTTGATGACCCCCCCCCCCCGCCCCCAGGAGAACCATCAAATCTGTCACAATTAAATTGAAATTGCGTGGCACCACAACAGACATGCAAAGAGAGGGGCGCCCACCAAAACGCATGGACCAGACATTATTCAGAAGGAAGGACAGAGAAAAAAAACATTGAATGAAAAAAAAAAAAAACCCACACACACGTACATAGTGGGGGCCAACTGCAAATGCGTACCCAAGTTCAACATGTTTCCTTGTTCGCTCGGTGCAGAGCGGCTGTGATGTGAACAGGCCGTCATACAGCAGCAACACAGCCCTGCACAGCGCCTGCGCGCGGGGCCAGGCGGACGTTGTGCGGGCGCTGCTGAAGAGCGGCGCCGACAGCAGCCTCAAGAACTACCACAACGACACGCCTGTCATGCTGGCCAAGAACAAAAAGGTAAGCTTCAACAATAAGGCCTTGGTGGAGGTCCGGTGCGTAACAAAAATGAGAATGAATAGCACTTCATAAAATTGTACTTTCTGAAAATGTACATCAATGACATGAATGCAAACAATGAAACAGTTTTTGTCACTGTTCATCAGTTGAATGGTGTGCCCACCTTGGCCATCTGGGGGCAGTATAAGACAGACGGACACACTCCTGTACCATGAGGTGTTGTTATGATTAACGCTTAAGTTCTCGGGCAGTCCAGCATGCAGCAGCCAACCCATATTGCAGCAAAGCATGTGATGTCTTGAACTCAGGTGAAATTCATAAGGCTTCATTTCAGACATCTTAACTCCTCTCTCAGCTCCTCGGTGCGGCACTAATATTTGTCATTCTATACGGAGGATAATGAATATATGATTAAGTACCGGTACTTTACTGGTCTACTGCCTGGCTACATGTTGCCTGCAATCTGTTGCTTAAAGGCTGAAAGCACAGTAACATGTATGCTAATGAGCACCAGCACCGCAGTATTTATTTTTCTGACGTCTTTTTACTTTTACCTCCTACATTAGAAAGTGATATCTGTCATGTCTACTCCTTACTTAGCCAAAATAGCATCAAAACGGCAACTGAGGTCTTTATTGTTTGCCCAACAAGGCTGAAAACGCAAGGACAACAGCGACATTCCGGAAAGCGAAACAGCTAGCATGAACGATGACACAACAGATTCAGAGAAGCAAGCTATTCCGCATTCTCTGCCTCACTTACAAGAATTGTCTGATCTGGTTAGCAACTGCATTGTGTCGGGTTTGCTTTTGTGTTTGAAGATTCTCGGATTAATCTGAAAAAACAAATACTTACAAATAAGGTGTTTATTTTTCCAGTTCTTCCTGCGAGCTAATTTAGCAAATTTTTGATTCGAACATTCACAAAATTGTGAGAAAGTGTTTTGATAGTGTCTTGTGAGTTTTTTGGGCAATATGTAATTTAATAAAAGAGGGAAAGCATTTTGTGTGCAGGTTTTTTTTTTTTAGTTGGCAAAAGTTATTAAAATAAGTATTGTCGATTTTTACTCTTAATTACAGGATATACATTTACTGTATTTCAATACATTTCACCCTGCATTTGATGTGCTTTTACTGAAGCAAAGGAATACCAATCAGTGCTTATACTTTAACCAGCGTGTGCTTTCACGAGTCTCTGCACTTTATTTTCGTACACAGTGATTACTTTTACTTCCTAATGAGTGATGCGATGGGTTCAGTTCCATTCAGTTTATTAAAATGATGGGATTGGCAAAGCAGACCATTGCAATGTTAGCATCAAATTAGTTTATCCTGCCATCCAGTGGACAAATATGAATACTGCAGGATGCTCATGATTTTTATCCAGTCACTGTTCTACACTTAATAAGCTATTCTGGAATATTTTTGTGGGATAGAAGCACGGTGGCATAATTGTTAGTGTGAGTATGAGTACCTGATTGCCTAGAAGTGCCCTGTGATTGAGTGGCAACCAGTCCAGGGTGTTGTACCCCATCTCACCTTTGACCCTCAGAATGAGAAAACGGATGAATGGGTTTTGATGGAGCTCGCGGCCATTATAAATGCATCTGGACAAAGAAAAGCAGACGCTGCAGAAATGTGTATTCTTTTGCAGATAGCAGACATCTTACGAGGTAGGGGCTCAAAACCCATACGAATTCCAGATCAACGCGACGACATGTCAGCATCGCCGCACGGCAGCAACTTGATGAGTATCGGTAGGAGAAACTTCATTAAATACAGCTGCACAGTGCAGATTATGGCCCATGCACTCCATTCTTCAATCCAGCCCAATCAGCATTTAAAATGATCATAAGTCCTGGAATATTTGTTGTTTTATTTAGATGTTTTTTTTTTTTGTTTTTGTTTTTTTTAATGAAGTTGGCTCATTAAAATGTATTTATTCCTTTCTTATTTATGTATCAAATAATTTCAGTGATTTACTGTAAGTAGTGAAAATCTAAAAAATGTACTTATTAGTAAAATAATATTAAATAAAATATGTTTTTCTTAATTAGCATGATAAAAGCTAATTTGTATGATTTAAAATAAAATTGTAAATACCGGGCAGGTATGAGAAAATACTTAAATCTAATTTCAAATTAATGAGTCATAATTAAAATCAATTAGAAATAATAATCATTCAATTTTTGTATATATTTAAAAATTTTAAATCTGCATTATTTAAATATTTCTTACATCAACGACAAAAATCAGAGTGAAATTCAAAAAAAGACCAAAATTCACATCAAATACAAAAATAAAAATAGATTAAAATATACATGTTTTATTTGATTAAATCTACCATAATAAGCAACCTGCCACATCTGTTCATATGAAAAATCTTATTTGATCCTTTAGCATTAAAGTTTGCCTGTCACAGAACCCGCCCCCTGCCAATCACCACTGTGATTTTTGTTTTGATTTATTTTGCTTTTTTTTTTCTCTCAATTTTAGGTTCCCCATCTCCAAGCCACAGTGGAGAGTGTTCTCCCTCGATGGCACCACCCATCCTACCCTCCGCCGCCCCCCACTCACCAAGGACTGCGCCAATGCTGGCCTTTCCATTTTACTAGCACACAGTCCTCGTGCATCGAAACTGGTAATTACGCTATCCCTTGGAGCGTCAAACCACCAGGCAAAATGACCAAACTTGGATTCAGGGATGTAGTCAACAAAAAAGGGCAGCTCCTTTGCACACAGAATTTATCGAGTGGAAAAAAAAACAACTACAGTGAACAGCCGGTCCTCAGTTTCAGACGGAGTCGGTTCTTACGCTAACGTACAGGTTAAGTTATCATGAAAGTGCCACGTGACCGCCTACAACAGAACTGTAATTTCTGTTTCATTCGTTACGTGAATGAGCTTTGCCGGAGTGTACAATCTGAGTGTGTATGTGTGTGTGTTTGGGGTGTGTGAGGGTGGTTGGGGGTGGGGGGGTTAAATCGGAATAAAGCGTGGTTTTGAGTTTGTTTTATCGTAACCTGTAGAGACTGTCGAGGACACATGCATTGTGTCGCTTTGTACTTGCGGGTTCACTTCAATAAGACAACTTGTAAGAGTACATGCTCTTTTACTTAAGGATTAAAGCGGTTATAGGAGAGGGGAGACAAGAACAACACCACCTGTAAACTCGTGGACTTCTGCCAGAACTCCCCAGACCGTCCATGCATTACATTGCATTCGGTTTTTTTTTTTTGGTTTTTGTTTAGATAAGCTACTCACAAAAAGTTTGGATTTTTTTTTCTCCAGTGACAATTCCAGATGAACCCAAATCGCATTGTAACCTTCACAGGTGAACTTCATTTGACCTTTTGAATGTCCAACTGTTCAATCTTTCAGTGCGTTTTGCACAAATTGCTGTTCAACAACAACGATCTGCACGGCAAAACCTTGATGCGACTCTTCCAGTTTCACTGTATCTCAGTTGTCCAAAATCCCTAACTTTTTGTGAGTCGTGTCTGTTGAGTGTGTGTTATTCTGCTTTTGTTAAAAATAAGTCATAAAAATTATGTATTTTTTCAAAAAATAAATGCAATTGTGTCTTGTGTTTTTTGGGGGGGGCTATACAGTACATTTATTCATATTAATACTTAATAATGTCATTACCATTTGCTTTTTCTTAAAAGGAGGGGAAAATGAATTGAAATTAGAATTTTTTTTTAATAATTTAAATAAAATCCATCAATTTTCTGATCCGTTTTATTCTCATATGGGTCGCGGGGCATGCTGCAGTCTATGGAGTTCCTATATTTAAAAGACGCAGCAATTTGATTGGTCAGTTGCTGGCCCGCCTCCATGGAGTTGACCGACCAATCATAAGGTGAGCGCGCGGCCATGTTGAATTATTATTCATTTGAAAGCGAGAAAACAAAAGAAGTGTTATTATATTACAACAGCAGAGGATTTCTCGAAATGACAACATTACTGTCAGATTAGATATATAAATCTATATATCACGTTAAAGAGATTACCAACCAAAGGCTACATTGGATAGATATAGAGATTTCAAGGTAGGTTTGCCAACTGAGTCGCATCGTCGCTGAAACACTGAAGAGCGAGGCTAGGCTAATAGCATGCTAACCTGAAATAGTTGCAGGAAAAGTTTCCTACCATGTTAAAAGTTAAATTCGAAATAGCTCCGCAGGAAAAGTTTCCAACCATGTTGAAATTTAAATTCGAAATGGCTCGCAAGGCACGTTTTACCCTCATGGACATGACCAGTGAAGGGGTTGTACGAACCGTATTTGAATTCGCCGTCAGTGTTTTCTCACTCGCCTGAAAAAAACACGGTACTACATCGAAACTTTAAAGTAAATTGCAAAATGGGCCATCTTTTCGCGATCGTGCCCGAATATTAAACACATTTGAAAAAAAAACTTTAGTTTGAGACATCAATTGCAATTCCCATTCTCTGGTGACATTTCACTGACCGACGACAGGTGGCCAAGTGTATTTTCCTTGTTGAACTTGCTTACCTTTTTTTTGTTGTTGTCTTATTTCATGGCAGGTAACCTGGACTTTGGCCAGTCCTAAAGCACTCTCCAAAAGTAGCATCCAGGTGGAAGAAACACGAAGTCAAAACAAAACTGAATGTACTTTGTTCACGTAGCATTCATCACACACTACAGTCTTGATCACACCAATAAACAGTGTTGCTATTCTGGCAAAGACAATGAAGAGTACTTTTAGATAAACGTCATACAAAATAATAAAAAAAGGATGCATGTCAGGTCACATATTTTGATTCATTTATTCATATGAATGTCAATTTCTCCATTTTTTGGGAGAGTTATCTTGTAAATATTCACAATTCACACACAGGACTCTTATTTTCAAGGGGCCTGTCGACAGATACTCAAATTGCAGTGCAGTTTTTACCATTTTAGTCAGGACTTGATCAGTAAGAAACGTAAATCTCTCTTGAGAATCACTTGCGCCGCCAAATTAAAAAGAAAGGAGCAAGAAAAGAAAGATGGCTGCAGCCAGAACAGCAAACCCAGCACAGATGATTGGCTTGATGAAAACGGCAAACAGGCAGATCAAAGGCGGCAAGCCTGCGGGATTCGGTGGCCAGCAGCCCCAAAAGAGGAGCAGCGTTCCTCAGAGCAGTGGCGGCATCAAGTAAGATTTGATTTGAAAGGCAATTTTATGTACAAAGCATCTTCTCATCTTGCACTCTTAAACGAACACATATACATGTGTTTATTTTTTTTAGGTTTGGGGATGACTGGAAAAAGTGCCTGGAACTTCCTCCAAAAGACAACAGAATTAGAACATCGGTAAAGTAACCCTGTAGACCAGTGGTTCCTCAAACTTTTGAGGCCAAGGCACTCAAAAACTCCCATTACAATTTTTGCCTTTGTTAACTAAGAGTTTGACCTAGTGTGAACTGCAGACATGTTGAGTTCAACATAAAGCCACTGGCAGTGATCAAGATACAAATATACGCTTTGCCAATCGTAGGACGTCACCTCCACCAAGGGAAATGAATTTGAGGACTACTGCCTCAAGAGGGAGCTGCTCATGGGAATCTTTGAGATGGGATGGGAAAAGCCCTCACCGATACAGGTGCGTTTTTCCGGACCAGTAGTCTTGAAATTTAAACAAGAGCATGAGTCCTTAATACGTGTGCTCGCTCGTAGGAGGAAAGCATCCCCGTTGCCTTGTCCGGCCGAGATATTTTGGCCCGTGCCAAAAACGGAACGGGCAAAAGTGGAGCCTACCTCATTCCTCTCCTGGAGAGAATCGATCTAACGAAGGGTCACATCCAAGGTCAGTGTTTACTTCCTCCTTCAAAGTATTTTTGTTTCGTTTTTTTTTTTTTTTTTTGTCCCCTGCCTGATTTTGAATAACTAACTATCTTTGTCCACGTTGTCATCAACCCTCACATTTCATTAGCCCTCCCCAACTTGTGTGTCTTCACGCAGCTTTAGTCATTGTGCCCACGCGAGAGTTGGCCCTGCAGATGAGCCAGATCAGTATTCAGCTCAGCAAGCACCTCGGAGGAGTCAAGGTCATGGCCACCACCGGCGGCACCAACTTGAGGGATGACATCTTGCGCCTCGACGAGACGGGTACAGTACATCTCTGGGTAGCGTACGGATGTGCAGACTTCCGCACTTTGGGCCATGTTCTGAAAGGAAAAAAAACGGAAGGCGTGATCCTCTTCACCTTGTTTTAATGAAACATGCTCAAACCAATTCGGTCTGCTGTAGCTAGACATGTCCCAAGTAGAGAAACTTTTTCAAGTTGTTTTTATTTTTAAACAGTTTAAATGAGAATTTGGTGTTGTGTTTTTGACAACGCAGTAAGTTAATGTGATGATGAAAGGAAAAAAAGACCCATGAAAAGGTTGTTATATCTTGTAAGGATCAACTTTTGACAAATATCTTTCACCATCAGAATAGAAAGACAAAAAAAACAACAACCAATAAGGAAGATAGAACGGGAGTCTGCCGGGTCACCTTTGACTGCGTGCCGTTTTCGCAGATGGAGGTGGGGGGGTCAGACTAAGCTGCCACATACATAACACGACATGTAGAGTTTTTAATTCAAGTTAAAAGCAAAACAATATCTCAAGTTGAGGAACGTTTATTATTAGAATTGTATTTGTTTTTGTCATTGGATATCTTTTTAAAAGTAAGTTTGTGTTGCATCTGTGTTTTAATTGAGCGTTTTGGTCCCAACAGTGCATGTGGTGATTGCCACACCTGGAAGAATACTGGACCTGATCAAGAAGGGTCTGGCCAAAGTCGAAAAGATCCAAATGATGGTGATGGACGAGGTAGGGCTTTTTGTGAGCTACTAAAAAAAGCTTCTTTTTTTTATTTTTTGATGTTTTTAAATGGAATGATTGGCACTTTCAGGCAGACAAGCTCCTCTCTCAAGATTTTGTGGCCATCATTGAGGACATCATCAGATTCTTACCAAAGAACCGTCAGATTCTGCTGTACTCTGCGACGTTCCCCATCAGTGTGCAGACGTTCATGGTATGACGACTTTCACTTCCGAACTTTTTCGGGTATAAATTAAAAAAAAATAAAAAATTTGAGAGGTTGTTGTTGTTGTTCTTGACCCCACCCAGAACAAACATCTGCAGAAGCCTTACGAGATCAACCTTATGGAAGAGCTGACTTTGAAGGGCATCACTCAGTATTATGCGTATGTGACTGAACGGCAGAAGGTCCACTGTCTCAACACGCTCTTTTCCCGGGTGAGGCGTTAGCTCCTTTATTCTTTTGTGTTGCAAGAAACTCCTGAGTCACCAACTGACATTGAAAGAAGATGCTTGTTCCTCCCCCCCCCCCCTTACAGCTGTGTCTATGCACGCCGTGGAAAAAAAAAAAAAAAAAAGTAATATAAAAATAACAATTTCCGCTTTCACCTGTTGTGTTCCAGCTTCAAATCAACCAGTCCATCATCTTTTGTAACTCCACCCAGCGGGTGGAGCTCCTGGCCAAGAAGATCACCCAGCTGGGCTACTCCTGCTTCTACATTCACGCCAAGATGATGCAAGAGTACAGGAACCGCGTGTTCCACGACTTCCGCAACGGACTGTGCAGAAACCTGGTGTGCACAGGTCGCTGGAGGAACCGCGACGCACCATACGAGCATGGAAAAGTCGATTTGGTGCTTAATGAGCTCTTTTCGCAGACCTGTTCACGCGGGGGATCGATATTCAGGCAGTCAACGTGGTCATCAACTTTGACTTCCCCAAGAGCGCCGAGACCTACTTGCATCGCATCGGAAGATCGGGTGAGCGCCAGCCGTTCCGTTATTTTTTTGAATCAATTCTAAAAATCGTGGTTAACGGTTAACAGTGATGGGCTACCCGTTTGATAGGCGCTTCTGAAATCACAAATGTGCTCAAATTACCTTTGTTACTACTGAGTATTATTCGTCTGTCGAGATACATATCAGGTTCGTCACTTCTACACTAATTATCAGCATTTATTTCAAAAATTATTAAAATAGATTAACGTCAGTATGTCACACTTTGTTTCCCTCATTCTTGTCATGTGTTTATACGTTCAAATGATCACTTCGACAACATCCTTGGGCAATCACAATGTCTCATCACTGGTGAGCTATTTTTAGAACCATCCCCCGGTCTACTTGCGTGGTCCGTGGGGGCACCACGAAGTGCTGGCTCGATCCCCGTGATGACATAACACACATTTCCTGCATCCCTCGCACTTGATTGACACACGCGCGTGTTTGCGTTTTTGTTTAGGGCGCTTTGGTCACCTGGGCCTGGCCATCAACCTGATCACATCGGAGGACCGCCACAACCTGAAGAGCGTCGAGGACCAGCTGGTCACCGACATCAAGCCCATCCCAGGCAATATCGACAAGAGCCTGTACGTGGCAGAATTTCACTCTGTGGAACACGACGATCCCGATGGTGGACCAACAAATGCAGAACTGGAAGCAGCCTGAATGATTGTGTGGTAAGTGGTTTTTTTTTTTTTTTTTTTGTGTTTTTTTTTTTAATAAACAGTTCGCATAAGGACAATTCATACTTAAGTCATTGTGTGTCCACAGTGCACTAGCTTTTATTTTTAAACCAAGAGCACCATCCAGACGAGTAAAAAAAATATCAAGTGCTTCATGAAGCTTCATTTTGCTATCACTGACAGTCAGGATTTTTGGCAACAGTTCAGATGCCTCGCTGAAATTAACTGGTCGTTTTTTTAAAAGAGATTAAGATGTTAGCAATCTGTATTTGTTCTCTCCTGCATGTTTGTTTTTCAGGGTAAAAAAAAAGATGGCGTCTGGCATCGCAAAAACATGGCTCAAGACACAATGTGAAGAGTTCTGGTTCACTTTTGTTCAAAACATGCCTGTCTTGTCTCTCGTACGCACGTAAACACAGTTTTTTGTTACCTGCTGCCATTGAGACCATCCCCTTGCCATACTAACGTACCTTTTTGGGTTTTTTTCCCTTTGGAAAACTTCAGTTAGACTGTAATGCAGTCGACCATTTTTTTTTTTTTTTACAAACTACTTCAGTTTCCACAAAACGTTTACACAAAAACACACCCAACAAGCAGAAGGCTCAGTGCAACATCCGTAGTTGTTTGTCTTAATAACTGCAGTACCACTGAGCACCTGTTTGTGTACTTGACAAGGTGGAGTGAAATTTTCCACTAAACACTATTTCACTTGTCAAGTGGAAGGCATTTTATGTTTAGAACTCATTTTTGGGGCACTGCAAATCAAGACAGGCAAGAACTTCTCTGGAAGATGCTGTTGCCATGGACGTCTGGGTGAAGAATAAAAGTAACTTGAGCTTTATGTTCTTGTTTCAATTTTTTTGAAAGTTGGCATGCACAACATAAATAGAATTTAAGAATTTACAAAAAGAGAATACATTCTGCTGTACAACTTAACGTCACTATTTGCGGGTGAGGGGGACCGAGACCTGCTGGATATAGCAAAAATCTGAAAGTATTGTACAGTAATTGACCATTGAGGCCCCAAAGGGGTGCAAAGCACGACTGCTCTATTCAAATGAGCAACTGGCTGTTAAAAAAACAAAAACAAATACTGTATTGATTCATTTCACACACTGAAGAACAAACAAAAACGAATTCGAAGTAATTTGCAAGTATTTTAAAATCGGCAATTACTTTTCAGTCATCCTGTCAAAATGATGATTTTTGCGTTGGTGGAATTTTAACGGCGCGTTTCGACCTACGTCGTAAAACAAGGACACCCTGTCGTGCCATCCGGTGTATTTTTAATTGATCTTCAGGCAATCAGTAATAAGTGTATTTAAATTGTGCTCAAACTTTAAACTGACATTTTCACTCATAAAATGCGGCGTAAATCAGACGTACCCTTGGAATGTCATTCAGTGGACGATTGAATGAACCCGCTGATTGGCGAATGACCCCATGGTCTGACGTCAGCGCGAGTGGGCTGACCCAGTGGTGATTCTGACCAATAGCCAGAAGCAAATGCTCGGCGCAAGCCAATCGACCGTCGCGGATACCGGAACTGGGTGGATCCAACGACGGCGACAGACGCTGCGGTGAACTTTACCGGTGCTGATCTTCCCCCCCTCCCCTGGAACCAATCCTTCATTGTGAGTAAATTAACTGTCAAATTCCACCTTTACCTCCTTAACAAAGACCATAGCTGCTTGTTCGAGCGGACACAACTAAAAAGGCCGTTGCCGGTATTTGCACGTACCGGGACGGTCGGATCTCGTGGACATCCACATGGCTTCGTCTCCGGCTAGCTAGTTAGCTTGCTAGCAAAGCCACGCTAGCTAGCATGCTGCAGCTCGGCTTGAATGAGAAGTTATCGTGCCTTCCAAACTGTGTCCCCCGCAACACTTTGTGGCTTTAACACATCCGAGAACTTGCACCGTGTCGACCACAACCGGTGCGGCTCGCTTGGAATGCGGAGAACCGGAGCCAATTGGGCCTTAGCTAAAACCTGCACGACTATATTCCTTTACTCGAATGTACGCTCGTGTTTCTTTCGGTGGCTAACTATGCCCTTCGAGTAATCGTCATTGAGATTCGTGTGAATTCCGGTGTGATTAAGCTTTGTGTGCTCACATGGCTGAAGAGCTCATCCTGCTGCCACAACTAGTAGCAGTCCGCAATCGAAGCCACCATTGGACCCATCATTTGAGAAGGGAGCTTAACGGGGCTGGGGGACAAACTGCACAGGAGTAGAGCAACTCTTCTCAGTGTTCAACTGCTCGTCTCCATAGAAGTCGGAGAACTCAACCGAATTACCAAACCCCGGTGGAGTTGAAAACAATGGCAGTACAATACTTCCCATCACCCCAATATATGCGGTTTGATTGATTGTTTATTGAACGTGTACATGTAGAAGTCAAATAAAATAACGCCAAGAGATGTCATCATTCAGCAAAGTTTGCGATGTATTCCCACCACTTGTTCTCAATAAATGTGATTAGAATGGTAGATAATGTATCACAAGAGATTAAAAAAAAAAAAGCGATCAACCTTTTTTCCCCAATTTTATGTTTTGAAATCATCAATAACCTTGTTGTTAATAATAGCTCAGTTTGAAGGGTCACCGTATAGTTTTGCTTTTTTTTCCAGCAACAAACCTTGATCTTATGTTGACAATAACAATACCTGTTGTAAATGTTGAAACCATACCTTTTGAAAAACAGGGTCTGCCAAACTGGAGGTTTCACCTTTGGTCCTCCAAATGGATTTTTTTGCTTTCTTAACACACTCTTTGGTCAAGCAGGTGGTGGAAGGGTAATATGCTCGCCGGGTGTTAATTGTCCGACCAATCTCTTCCTTGCAGTCAGTACAATCCTCAGAGTATGGGCAGTGTGCTGGCTGCCGCCTCCCCTACACCCTCCCCGGCTGCAGCTGGAGGGGGCCAGGGGGTCCCGGGGTTGGTTGCGGTTCCCCCCGGGTTCACCATGCCCTCCGTATCCTCCGTCCCGCCGTCGTCCGAGCTGCAGATCACGGACGCGGCGCAGTCGTCGTCGTCGCTCCCCAACCCCGGCACCTATGAGGAGTGCCACCGCAAATGTAAAGGTAAGCGGGCGAAACAAGTCACGTAACCGGGATTTGCTCACGTTTTGTTTGAATCCTCATTTTATGTGGTAGCTCGTGATATGGTGAAGTGACGACTTGTGGCGGGGTTTTTTTTCTCCCCTCCCCAGAGGTGTTCCCTCTCCAGATGGAAGGTGTGCGCTTAGTCGTGAACAAAGGTTTGAGTAACCACTTCCAGGTCAGCCACACCATCACCCTCAGCACTCTGGGTGACTCGGGCTATCGTTTTGGCTCCACGTACGTCGGCAGCAAACAGACGGGACCGACCGAGGTAGGCGAGCAACCGGCGTCTTAGGTCCCGGTATGGAAATTGTTATGTGAGAAAATAGCGTTATTTTTCAGAAAAGTCATTTCACAAGAAGTCATTTGGCAAGTCATCATTTTAAGACTCTTCCAACTGTAATTTGACAAGGAGAAGTCATTGGTTCAGTCGATGAAAGTATCATGGCACCAGAGTTCTAATTTTAGAAGAAAAAGAAGTGATTGAATGTGTGCAAAGGAGCGCAAGAAACACGTTTTTTTTTTTTTTTCTGCCTTCAGTCCTTCCCAGTCATGGTGGGCGACATGGACAACACGGGGAGCCTCAACGCCCAAGTCATCCACCAGCTCACCTCCGCCGTCCGCTCCAAAATTGCCCTCCAGGTAACTTGGTTGCACGCGAGCTGAATAGCGCTCGACAACTGTGCTTCATTTTGTGTTTTTTTTTTTTTTTTCTTTAAAGACCCAGCAGCACAAGTTTGTCAACTGGCAGTGTGACCTGGAGTACCGCGGGGCCGACTTCACCTCCGCCCTGACGCTAGGAAACCCTGATGTCCTCATAGGCTCTGGTATGCTGCTATGATGCTTTGCCCCCACCCCAGCTGTCTGCTGCTACTAATTTGTATCTTCATATTTTTTTTCCCCCCTTCAGGCATCGTCGTGGCCCACTATCTCCAGTCCATCACGCCCGCCCTCGCTCTGGGCGGTGAGCTCGTTTACCACCGGAGACCCGGCGAGGAAGGAACGGTCACCTCCCTCCTGGGCAGGTACACAGGTAAAATTCTCATTTTTTAAAAAAACTTTATTTAGCCAGGCTAAACGGATTATGAACACATTTTGCATGGACAACAAAAATACAGTGTTCCCTCACTTATCGCGGTGAATGGGGACCGGGACCCGGCTGCGATAAGTGAAGCGCTGCGAAGCAGTTTTCGCTTTGTTACAGCGGCAGCGGTTGTGAAAGCTCGCTATAAATAAAGCTGCATTGTATTCCCTTTCGTGTACCTCCATCTAGTGGATGCATAACGCAATCGCAGCCACTATTGTAGCTTCAATTCTATGCGCCTTATAATGCGGCGTGCCCTAGATATGAAAACCGTTTTAAAATAGGTCCTTCATTGATGGCGTGCCATATAATCCGACGTGCCTTATAGTGCGGAAAATACGGGTATATTCCAAAGACTTTTCCCTGTGGCTCAACTCAACTTGATTTCGAAAACGCTTTCAAGTTGTCATTCGATGTCGTTATATTTCCGCACCTTAAAAAAAAAAAAAAAAAAAAAATCGGTGCACATCATCAAGTTGTTTTTGTCAGTGCAATTGATTTTTGTGTCCAGGTGACAACTACGTGGCCACGTTGACTTTGGGAGGAGCAGGATGTCACGCCACGTACTATCATAAAGCCAACGATCAGGTACGTTTTCACAACCGCCACGCTCAGTCAAAGCACGGAGATCAAAACGCTCTTCTTTTTGTGATCAAAATCCCAAACGCAAAGACATTCAGTCCTCCTTTTTATTTATTTACAACGAATTCATAACAGTAACGTTTGTTTCTTTTTGCCGCCATAGTTGCAAGTTGGCGTGGAATTTGAAGCCAGCACGCGGATGAGAGAGACCACGACGTCTTTGGGTTACCAGCTGGACGTGCCCAAAGCCAACCTGCTCTTCAAAGGTAAGCCCGCTGCAGCGCCATCGTGACGCGCTCCCAGAATTGACGGGAGGGCTCTCTCGCTCTCTCGCCCTCCTCCAGGCTCCGTGGACAGCAACTGGGTTGTGGGCGCCACGCTGGAGAAGAAGCTGCCGCCTCTGCCGCTCACCATGGCGTTGGGAGCCTTCCTCAACCACCGCAAGAACAAGTTCCAGTGCGGCTTCAGCGTCGTCATCGGCTAGAGGGGCGAGGGTGGCCGGAGACGGGACCGGATCCGGTGCCACCCCCCCGCCTCCCGTCCCCCCACCGGGACCCAGCTCGCGGGCCTCGGCTCGGTCGCAGACAAACAAACACACACGCGGGAACCCGGACCGAGTTTTTCCCAACATTACATTCAGAGACGCTCTTTTACTTCTGTGATTCCTGGGGGGGGGGAGATGCCACGGACAGACGAGACCACCGAGGAGCCGGGACTGGCCGAGCCGCGCCTGCGTGGTGTAGCGCAACTTGTCTTTACTTTTGGAGGAACGCCCACGTGAGGGCAGGGATGTTGCCTGGAATCGAACCAAGTCTGTGCGTAGACGTAATATATGGTGATCGTGTGTGATGGACGCAAATAAATGTCATGACTTTTTCTAACGATGCCCGAGGCCAGTTCTTCTGAGAGAAAAAAAAAGTTATTTTACAAGAATTGAATTTTGATGGGAAATAGTTGGTCACAGCCATCCCAGCCATGTTTGGATGGTAGGCGGGGTTACACCCTCAACTGGTTGCCAGTCAATCGCAGGGCACACACAGACACACAACCACGCGCGCTCACACTCACACCGA